TTGCTACATATTTTCTAAAATGCAGTTACATACAATAAAAATATTTGGAAAATAAAAATACATAAATACAAGACTTTCTTGTGATTTGATTTTCTTTTAGACTATAAAAGATAATCCCTGGGGCTGGGTCTGTAGCTCGGTGGTAAAACACCTGCCTTGCATATGTGAAGCACTAGGTTTGATATCACCACATAAAAATAAATAAAGATACTGTGTATTCATCTACAACTAAAAAAAAAATTTTAAAAAGATGTTAATCTATGGCAAAGTAAGAAAATTACTTTCAAAAAAAGAGAGAGAATCCCTAAAAAGTTTCAGAGACCAATGGGTCCACATCTTTGCACATGCACCTCAGCTACCACAACACCAAAAGAGAAGCCGTTTCAGCTTCTTATTTCCCAGAATCAGGATAAATGAGTGGCCTGAAGGAAAAGTCACTCCAATAGACCAGACAATTAAAACAGTAATATATTTATCAAGAAACACAGGGTTACAAATTTCAACAAGAAGCGAAATAAAAAAAATGACATACAGTAGCAGAAAGGTGATCACCGATTGCAATGCTTTCACGTGGGCCACGGTGCTGGCGTCCCTGGACCCTTTGGCACTGTGGTGCATCCTCTTCAGGTGCCTCCACAGAGAGAAGATTAGCAGGAGAGCAGTCATCAGGGACAGAGTGAAGGGTATCACCATGAATATAATGTTGATGAATGAAAAAGTATAGGAAAACTGTGCAAATTTCTCCAAATTGGAACTGAAAGACAGGTTTCCTTTATATGCAGCAATCCAGACATCAAGTTGAGTGTTCATCAATGCAATATTCAAAATCAAGAAGTTTAGAGATATCAGCAGGGTCACTGACACCACCTTTTTAACTCTCCACTTTAGGTAAAGAAAAAGAGAGTTAGAAAAATTGGCTATCTTGAGAAAATAAAAGATGCTGAGACCTGCAGCAAGCCAGATGCTGAAATGGTTGGCCATTGCCCCAGTAACAATTATTATTTTTAACATTTTTATAGACATAAATACATCTGGATGCAGTGCATAGATCAATGCATATATGAATGGGAAAAGGAGCTGGCCAATTCGAGAGAGTGCCAAARCAGTGAGAATTTGATCAACTGAAGASATCTTTCTTCTCTTGACCCAGTCCACGCAGTTCACTACTGTTATGAATCCATTTCCTAAAACTCCAATCATAAATTCCACAGTTAAAATGATTTCCAATATTCTATGCACAATACCATCCATTGCCTGTAAGAGAATGAATAACCCAGCTTCAAATACACTGCTAAAAATTCGACATTCATTTTAAAAACTATGCTTATCTGATTCTGGAATATTCACAGCATTGCCACTTCTAAAATTTCTCATATGAACCAACAAACAAGCAAGCATCCAGATTTGTCAATAACCAGGTTCATAGTTTTCTTCATGAAAATATTGTGTTTTCCAAGACAGACCAGCTGAGCTTCATCCAGATACTGTGCCTCAAACATCGTAGTCTTCTGTATTGAGGATAAACGAAATGCTAGAACCTCAGTGTGTTAACATGGAGATAGGAGAAACATTTATTAGCACTGTTTTGCTCTTTTKTATAACTCTACCTACTTTAATCTAACTACCTGAGTTCTGGACAAGCAACATTACAAAATTCTAATATATATAGAAGGTAACAAGAAGCTAACTGTGTGTGGAACTTCACTGGGACTTCCTCAGCACCAAGCTTCTTTAAATACTTCAAAGTTTGGCCTGTTCAGGGACCTAAGCACATATTGTCCAAAACTCTTCCTACAAACTATCAGAGTTTTGTGGATATCATTATTACTCCTCAAATATTCAGTACTGAGAATAATACTTCTTAATCGTTTTACTTTCTACAAGGATGTGTATACACACACACAATTCACACATAAATACACACATATTTGGTTCTAAATTTCCTTTGTTTTTCACTTCAATTTTTCAGGTACTCAGTATTTTTATGCATGTGACTCATGTCTAGTACTACGATAGTTGTTCAGACATTGTTTAAAAATATTTTCCAGGATAATGGGGCAGTATAAATGTGAATATTCAGTAAATTTGGAGCTATTAAATCTGTTCATCTGAAAAGCAGTAGAAATCTTTGTGGTCCCCTGAAGCAGTGAATGAGTTAATCCATAGACCAAGAATCCTCATTCTTTGCCTACCTCTTTCCTGGTAGGGACCATTCCTTCATCAGAACCAGAGACCTTCAGATTTTTATCCCCCTCCCCTCTCCTTCTACCAACACCTGCTCCATGACATTCACTACAGGTACCCAGGTTTATGAAGAATGGTACACTGCCTGGTGAAGATGTTTAATGAGGAACATGAAATAATCATTCTTCCCTTACTAAGGAATAATCAAGGGACAAATGAAACATACGCAGAAACTATWACCAAAGACAGCAGAAAAACATGTTTCAGAGATGGGAGAGAAAGACATGAGGTATATACTGGGAAGGGCAGACCCTAACCTCTGAACATTAAGAAATGAAACCAAGATCATTTGAAAAAAATCCACAAATAATCTACRTGTAAGAGAGAGAGAGAGAATAAATTAGCCAACATTAGAACATTTTTAGAGAAAAAGAATAGAAGCACAAGCATACCATCCTTGTAGAGGCAGGAAGTTTCCCTGGCTTGGCTCATCTCATGTAACAAGAGGAGGTAGAAAAGGAGACAAAGAGCAAAGCAAACAGTGCTGGGGGTGGGGCTGTGTGGTGGGGGCACTGGTACAGAGCTTCATTCCCTTTTAGAAAAGAGACAGAAATCCATCCCATACCATTGAGGGCTGCGCTCACACCAGAGCAGGCCTTCCTGAGGCCCCAACACTGCACYTTTCACTCTGGTTATTTGTAACCATTATTCCCTACATATAAATCTTTAATTTAGGTTTGTTTCCACCTGCACAATAGCTTCTAGGGAAGACAGGCTTTTTCCAGATAAGGTGAAGATGGTACCCAGGATAATTTTCCCACATTTCATCCATAAAGCAAAACAAGTCAGATCCTCAGTGAGGGGCAGTATCTTCAAGCATTTCTCTATCAATCATATATTTAGGTGTGCTTAGAAGTTAGGGCATTTCATGTTAGTTTTTTTCATTTGTGGCAAGTCTTATATACTGACTACACCAAGTCATCTAAAAGGATTTAACCAAACAAAATTCTATGTATCTCTCCACTTACATCACTATTTGTAATCATAATCCCCTACATATAAATCTTTAATGTTTTTCTTTTAAATAAAAYTAAATAAGTTTCTTGGTCACCATCACAATAGGTTAGCAGAAATTCAGATAAAAAGTCGTACTGAAACTCCCTTTTTCTCTCTAGTTTCTGGTAGTGTGACTTTTAACCATACGTTTTACATTTTAGGGAGAAAAAGTACTTTTTCCAATGTGAGATAAATAGACAAATAGAGGTACAGATTTGATCAGTCAGCTTCATTCATCTCTAAGGAAGTGCATAGTTACATTCTCAGTAAGGAGACTGTATGAGGTTACTAGTGAAAACTGAGCCTTCGGTTGGCCTTTATACTTTTTAGGGGAAACCAGCAAAAGAGACTAAGAATCTGCCCTCAATGGTAATATCAATATACTTTCTCTCATTTCCACATTTTACATATGGTAATAGAACAGGTATATGATAAATTTCCTGTAATCCAAATACAAATTTCATAGATGTCATTTTAATGGATGCAGGAAGGTTCATTGAATATGTGTGATGATTTCCATATTACTTTTATATTATTTTCTTAAGTAAGGAAAGTTTAGACTCTTTTTAAGTTTAAAAAGCATTTTTAAAATGGAAGATACAGGAGATTTGGGGAAATCAAGACCCTGGTGGTTTGGGACAAAACGGAAATATTGAAAATCATATCTCAACTTTGAAAAGATCTTCCTTGCTGGAGTAGAGCACTTGCCTAGCATGCATGAGACTCTGAGTTCGACCCCCAATATCACACACCCAAAAGAAAAGAAATCATTCTAAAAAGGTCCTTCTTAATTTAACAACTGGAAAAAATGACTTTCCCTACTGCAGATGGAAGTACATGACAGCAATTAAATCAGATTCATTCCTGTCATAAAAATGATCTTYTTCTAAGACTTTTACCTATTTGCATTAAACCTAATATTCTTCTGTACTACTTAAAGTTCATATATATATATACTAAATTTACTCTGATATTTTTCTCACTCTTGAATCAGATTATGTGCATGTCTTACAATAATCATACCATTTAACAATTCATATTAAACATGAAATTAGAGTCCATGACGGAACTCATCATATCCACCTCAATATTCCATTTAGAACTGAGTTTTTTTGTCATCCAAAAAAAAATTGGTGGCTCAAACAATGAAATCCAAACATGCAGTGGTACACATGTGTGATACAAAGTACAATAGTAAATAGCAGTGATCCCTGAAATAAGCTGACAGTACTACATAATGCATAAATTAAAATCGTAAATACTTCAAAGGAAGGTCAATATGGAGTAGGCATGTGAAATGCACATGGCTTAATTTTCTGAAATTTTCTTCCACATTTTGAATAATTAGGTCATTTCCATGAAAAAAAATTATTAAGGGCATATTATTGTCATTGTCTCATATTTTTCATATACTCATGTATTATTAAAAAGATACACATGACCATGGGTCCTTTTATTTAATAAGTTTAGGTTTCAGACTTGGGGGGCATGTCTTTAGAAATTAATCAAAYACTAAACTACAGAAAAAGTGGTATAAAACATAATGTTACAGACTTCATCTGTTGGATTTCTGCTAGAAGTCACTCAATAGTCCTGACATCAATCAATGAACCTGAATGAAGGTTTCCATTATTTCAGCCAGTGTCTCACCTGCCACAGAACTGATAGAAGGCTTGTTTCAGCTTCTTTCTTCCACAAAGTAGAACAAATGAATAGACTTGAAGGACAGATGATCCTAGTACCAAGGGAACTCCAAGAAATCAGTGCATCAACAGCCTGTTAGAATTCCAACCCAATGTAGTTGCAGAAGGAGAGTACCTGGCAGATAATAAGAGAAAGGAGATCACAGTTTGCCAGGTTTTCATATGAAACTTGATGCTGGGATCTTGGGACCCTGTGCCATAGAGCTGCATCTTCCTGAAAAATTTACACAGGAGTAGATTAACAGCAGAAAACAGTATTTCACATGTATGAAATTTACTGCAGTAAATGCCATCATATTTTAAAATTTATGGCATCCCTYGATTTGGTTTTTACACTCAGTTTCTTTTATATTCATTTTTMCAGCCCTTCTATAATTGTTTCTACAACATGAAATAACAAAACCACCATTATCCTCAAAAGAATCAATAGAATGACACTCTTCTCTCTCTCCTCCTCAAGTGAAGAAATAATAATCTGGAGAAATTGACTAACTTGAGCAAATAAAATATGCTGAGGCTGGAAGCAATCCAGGTACTAAAATGATTGATTACTGCCCAGGAAATAACAATAATTCTTACTTGTCCACTATATGAACCTGGATAATCACAGTTTTATATCAGTGTGTTAACTTTCCCAAAACAAACCAACTCTGGAGATGACCAAAACGTARAGAATTCTGTCAGGTAAAGAAATGTTTTTTTCTCTTGACCTAATCACTGCCAGTTCATCAGTGTTATAAAGACACAGAGAAAGTTTCTGAAAACAAATTCTGCCATTACTTGGATGGAGAGGATATCCAGTAGAAAATTTATCAAGTCTAGGGTTTAATAAATAAATCCTGGTTATGATTTATAATCTCTTTCCTTGAGTTCTACCAACACCTGGTTTCTGGACACTAAACTTCTTGTTTTCTTTTACATTCTGCAACCTATGCCAAATAGAAAAGGACCACAGGTGCTGTTTTTAATGGAAAATACAGTTATTTCCAAACAAGCTCAAAATAAACCCTATGCACATATTTTATATCACTCCCATAGGCTGCAGTCTTTCACAGCTGATGGTGTGAAATAGGAGTTCGAATTTGCTAGCATGCAAATGAAGACATATTCTCTTTCATGRATTTACAATTTTTTGCCTTGACTAATGTGTACATAATTTGAATTCATTAAGTTTACATATTGGCTAGTAAATTTAAAAACCTAATTCATAGACCATGAAGGAAAAATCTAAATTGATAGAAGGAACTTATTTATCTGGTGATTAACTGAATGGTTGATCACCACTGAGAATTCATTTGAACAAAAAATTTGGATATATGTAGAAAACTTTAAAGAACATAATCTATAGATTGCTTATGTTTTCCTATCAAAAGTTTCACAGTTTCCTTAGGAACCTCCAGGAAAGCCAATCCTCCCTAAAATCGAGTGCTGATAACTAGTACATACACATAGCTTTATTGTTTACAAGCCATAAACACAGACCCTCACTTACAACTACCATAAAATCCATGTATTTCATTAAGCTTCTAAGAACATTCTAAGGGACTACAAAGCACGARTCATTTTCCCAGAACTTCCAAAATTAAGAGTGAATCTCAGAGAACTTAATGAGACTTGAATCCCCTTTTTTCACACTCAAGCTTTTTAACCCACAGTGTTTATCAAGCATGTTTCTCACACTTAGGCCTTTTACAAAAGCTTCTGTCCTGGTTCTATTTAATCCTTAACCATTCAAGGGGGCATAATAGCACACATCTGTAATCCCAGTGACTCAAGGTAAGAGGAGCACAAGTTCAAGGCCAGCCTCAGCAAATTTGAGAGACCCTGTCTCAAAATAAAAAATAAAAAAATAAAGAATTAGGAATGTAGCTCAATGGTAAAGCACCCCTGCATTCAATCCTTAGTACCAAAAAGAGATTATTATTTAATGAAAAAATTTTATTATTTAATGAAAATATTTAATGAATATATTTAATGAAAATATTCAAAAATTTTACAGACATTTCTGAAATCCACTGTGATTTTTTCACTGCATTGAATTGGACACAAGGATTTGGACACAGTAGGTGTAGAAATTAGTTCTGTTGATCAAAAAACGTGGTAAATATCAACATCTATTCATATTTTTCGTGTTCCTCAATACAATTAAATTAAATACTTCAATAATATATAATATATTAGACTTAGTGTCATGCCCTTTCTATTGATTATTTGTTTTGCAGGACTGGGGCTCAAACCCAGGTCCCCGACATGCTMGGCAAGTTACATCCTCAGCCCTCCTTCTACTGTTTGTTGCTACTATGAAAAAGTCCAGTTTCAAAAGTTAAAGTCTAAATGGACATTACTGGTAAATAATTAAACATTAATATTATTGTTGGCAATTTTTCTAAACTTACTTTTTTAAAGAGAGAGAGAGAGAGAGAGAGAGAGAGAGAGAAGAGAGAGGGAATTTTTTAATATTTATTTTTCAGTTTTCGGTGGACACAACATCTTTATTTTATTTTTATGTTTTGCTGAGGATCGAACCCAGCGCCCCGCACATGCCAGGCGATCGMGTTACCGCTTGGGCCACATCCCCAACCTTCTCTTAATTCTAGCTTTAGTTGTTAATGTCTACATTTCACCATTAAGTATAATATTCCTGTACTTGTTTCACATAATCTTTTCATTTGGTTATTATTGGTTCCTTATTGAAATTTTGGGTCAAGTAATATTTCAATAACTATTAATGTTTAGATTTCAGTTGGGGTACAAACCACATACAAATTTGTATTTCGTTGAGATGATAGTGTATTCTTTTAGCAAAGGACTCTACTTTTGCCTATTAGATTAATCTTGTTAGTTATGTGATTCATGCCTCTTTTATGATTACTACTTTCTTTTCATCTATCAGTTTGTAAAATACCTTAAATATATACTCTATATTTATTCAGTATTTTATCCATTTTAAAAAATTTAATGCATTTATCTTGGTACTACATTTTTAGAAGCAGTCTTTGTTTCAATTACTGTGTTTTGTCTATTACTGTTTCCTTTTATACTTTAAATATCTTTGTTCAAACACTGATTAATTTCACTTTAACAAACATTTTATCTGATATTTGCATTGCTTGCCCAGATTTTGTTTAATTGTTATGTAGTTTCAGAATTCAGCATCATACTAAAAAGCTAAATAAGTGAGTAAAAACTTAGTGATTAATTTAGATGAAAGTTTACTACTCAYCTAACAAGAGCATCCAATATTTAGTAGATCAGACACATGATAACATTGAGGTTCTGTCATAAACCAGAAGTGGAAGAGTGAGTATTGGAAAGTACCTAGCAGTCCCTTGACCTTTTAAATTTTTATATAGTTATTCACATATTTTAACCATTTTTATCTATTTTTAGATGCAATTCATTTATAGGATGTAATACATGAAAAAACATACAAAATTCATATTTATAAAATACATGATTTATCATAGAAAATGTGTATAATACTAAATTTGTATGTTTAATAAATATAGACTAATCTGAAATATGAGTGTTTTTGTTAATGATTAACTTAATTCATTTAGTGATTTCTAACTATATTAAGTTCAAATGGCCTCTTCAGTTATTCATCATGCTTTCTCTTTTCTTCTCTAAATATTCCTGTCTGCTTTGTCTTGGAATTGCCATTTTTCCTCCCAATCCCCCACCCCCCCAGCTCACTATTTAGCAGTTTACTTGTTATTTTAATTTTTTTTTAWTAGGTATCATACATTTTGCAATTTACATACCACATCTCTTTCTAATCATGATTAGTTATATCRCTGTCTCCTGTCGATCTGAGTAAAGACCTTGACATGGTTTTAAATCCCTTTGCACAGGTCAAGACTTCCAATACACTTATATAGATATTTTTATTTTATTAACCAAATTTCACAGAATAATCTATGTARGATAAAATTTAATCATTTTGAGTTACTTTATTTTATGTAGAACCTTTTTATGGTATGTAAATTATGTCTTTTTTTAATTTGTTCTTTTTAGATATAGATGACAGTAGAGTATATTTTGACATATTACACCTACATGAAGTATGACTTCCCATTCTTTTAGTTGTACACTGTTAGCCAATCCAAAAAAAAAAAAAAAAGGCTAAATGTTCTCTCTGATATACCGATTCTAACACACAATAAGGAGGGGTTGAGGAAGGAAGAATAGAAGTTCATTGGATTAGACAAAGACAAATGAAGGGAAGGAAGTGGGGATAGTAATAGGAAAGACAGTAGAATAAATCATTCATTCCTATTCATGTAGAATCTTAACATTAACTTGCTTTAAATTACAAAATATCAACTTTATTACACCTTATATACAGCCAATGGTTAGTTATTTTTCTCAGCTTACTTAAACATTTCATTTGCTCAACTTCATTCTTTTCCCTTTAAATTTTTGTCTTTATATTAATGGGCTTAGGCAGCCATAACAAACTGGCCATKTAAACAACAAATTTATTTTCTCACAGTTCAAAGGCTGGATGTCCAAGATCAAGGGGCCAGTAGGGCTGGATTTTGTTGAGGTCACTCTTGCTGGCTGGTCTGCAGGCTACCTTCTCATAGCACCTGTCCTCTGTAAGCTCATGTGACCCTCTGTGCACACTCAGACTCCTGGTATCTCTCCAGAGCACAAGTCCTATTAGATTAGGATTCCTTCTTATGTCCTTATTTAACCTGGAATTATATCCATAAGGAACCTATCCTAAAATGCAGTCACATTGGGGTTTAGAGCATCAACACTAAATTTTTCTGGCAAATGATCCAGTCCATAATACTATTTCCAATACTAACATTTTCACTGAAGTGTGTGTATAATATAGCATTAATTTTATTTATTCTGAAATGGTGTGAATTCAATTCCTCTGGCATTTTTTAGCCAAGAATTAAATATTACAGCTTAATTCCTCATCACTTTTAAAATATGAATCACTTGTATGTGACATATAATTTTTTGATGAGATTTCTCAGAAAACTCAGATTGATTATTTTATTCTTTGGCAATTGCTTCCCATTACTTTGTAGGTACTTTGAATTTCAATTTGCCTCTGATAGTTGCAATTTTATTAAAACATATACATTATGTTTTAATATTAAGCGTTAAATTGGTCTAAAACCAATAAATTATTATTCATTAGTTAAACAAATTCCTTGGGAAGTATTTTTCCAAAAAGTGAAATGCTGTTATACCTAAAATTTTGCATAAACTGTTTTCTTTGTATCAATATTAGTAAAAATCCAAGCATATATCTTATTTGTCATAGTTTTTATAAAGTTTTAAGTGAAAAAAAACAGAGTATGCACTATGTTTATACTACTTAAAATTCCTGTGTTGAAAACTAAATAAAATGTATATAGYAAATAAAAAAAATAAATAAATAAAATGCATTTACAATGAAAAAAAATAAAAAAACAAAAATTAAAAAAAACATATACAAAAGTGAATATGTGTATGATATTTCATTAACTAGAATATGTATATATTCTATATATTGTTTGTGTATCACTGTCAACATGTATCATTAATTTCATTGGTCAGAGAAAAGGGAAATATGTGATCATCCTAATGAATAACAAAACATTTGATACTTTTGTTTGTTTTTATTACAATTTTATTCATAAGTACCCCAAACTGGAAAAACAACCCAAATATCCTTAAAGAGGTCATGGAAAGCAAATTGTGATACACACATACAAGAAATGCTACAAGACATAAAACGTAAAAATGTAAATTAATATCAAAGAAATTACCCTGAAAAAAGGCAATCTTCAGGTCCATCTATAGTGAACCTATTTATGTAATGTTCTRGAAAAGTCACATAGGAAAAGAGAACACATGAGAATTTGCAGGAATCAGAGAGGAATGAAGGTTTGACCACCTAGGAGATGCACATGGCAAGTCTTTGAATGATGATCTGCTCTGAGGGTGGTGGTGGATTCATGATTTTATACTTGTATTAAACTCATAGAACTGTATATTTGCTACTTTAAACACAGGTTTTATTGGAATATCATACGCGGAAAAATAAGAAAAATATTCTCYGTGAAAATTATTTTTAAAAGTACCTCAATACTAAAGTGATTTTTATGCTATTGGTGAAACACCAACCAACTCTTCATTTACAAAGATGCCAATTATTACCACAACTGCTTAGCATTTTGAATGTTTAAGCCATTTCAAATGTAAACCAACAAAAATTTTCAGCGATACATTATTTCAAATAATAAAATAATAATTATAAATAACTATGCAGATGATATGATATTTTTATCTGCAAAAAGAAAGAGGATGAGAGTAAAAAGCAAAGCATATGCTATAGTTTAGCAAATTGCATTCTAACTCACCAAATGAACAAATAAAAACAATTATTGTACCTTTTTAAGTTCACATAAACCAAGTACCAAATATCATTTTTAAAGCTTAAGAATAGGTATTATATTGTGAATATAATATTTAATAATGTTTAATATAAGCACCAAATTTACATATTCCTTTAAGTCTTTTTTTTAAAAGGTTCTGGATATGTCTGTGAGTAGCCTCTTTCTATTGATATATCATTTGAATTTGGGGGACYGCCTCCCTCTACTGGGTATTATCACTCTGGCTCTTTGCTGACCTCTTCGCGCACTGCTGGAGAAGTCTTTTAACATCTCAGACACTCAGGTTCTTCACATGAAGAATAATATTAGACATACATGAATATTAAAAAGTTATGAAGAATGCATATTAACCTACCACAAAAACAGAACAACTTTCTCTTTTTACTTGCCACTTATTCCAATGCCCACTTTTTATTTCATAGAATCTACCTAGAAYCCACTTCAATCTAATGTATGAAATACGATATGTCAAGAGCTTTGTAATGTTGTGAACAACCAATAAAAAAAATTAAATTAAAAAAAAGATGTTAAACATATATTTTTCTTGATAAATAAATAAATGAGCAATATTACGAAAACAAGAAAATCTATTCCAAATGCAAACTCTACAATTTGAAGGGATTTCTTTGTGAAAATAAGCCAKGAACAAAGAATTCTTCATTTCTGAAAATACATAGGGTTCTAACTTGTCTGTTTCAGCAACACTGAATACAATATACATGACCATGTTTTCCTCTCCTCATCCCACAACTTAAACCTATTTATATTTTTCACATATTTAATTAAATTACTTTCTATTTCTGTAACACAACCAATATCATTATTATATGCACATAACSAAGTTCCATGTTGATTATGCTCCATGTTAAGTATTTAATTATGTTTAATATAAACACCAAATTTATATATTCCTTTATGTCTTTTTTTTCCACTAGGTTCTGGATGTGTCTGTGAGTAGCCTCTTTCTATTAATATATCATTTGAATTTGGGGGACCACCTCCCTCTACTGGGGGCCCACCTATAAGTTTTTCAAAATTTCTATCCCTTTGACAATCTTATTTGCAATATAGATATATGGTGAGACAAATTAAATCTAAAATACCAATGTACCAGTAAAAGACTATCTGCAGCCATGATCTGGTATTAGTGTATATTAAAATCAAAATGGATTGGGTTACATACTTGAAAACTGTGCTGAAATATACAATATATTTCCAAATCTAAATAACATATCATTAATAATAATAAATATGTTTCAAAAACTCTGGAATTTGAAACTCAAAATATAGACAAAACTATTAGGATAAAGCACTTTTGGGATTCTGAGGAAATTTTTCTTAATTTATAAATTGGAACTTGGAGTTAAAAGATAGATTTAGAGTATCTAATTTCCCATAGTATACATTTTATTCTTGACATCTTAGATAAAACTTTAGGCACATTTACTATGTAAAAACTTGTTTTTATGTGTATAAAATTATAAAATTCTATTTTTAGTAATTGTCTCACATGCATGCATACACGTAATAGCTTGTATATTGTAGGTTTCTCATTTTAAAATCTCAAAAGGTTAATAATTGACACAAAATTCATATTATTTGTTACTATAAAGATCTCTTTAAAACATCTATAATGATATATTTCTGTATAAATGTGTATTAATAGACTTATTATTTATGACATGGTTATAAATGTGGTTGTAAAGTGATTAGTGCCTGTGCCAAACAGAATTTTATAAAATTCACAAAGTCGATAAAAGGAGAATATTAGAAAAACATAGATTCACAAATGCAGGAATTTTTGTGAACTGATTTTTTTTCTAGATGATCCCAAAATGGCCTATGGACCCGGTGGCTCAGCATCTCTGGACCTGCACCTCAGCCACCACAGCACTGACAGAGGGGCCTGTCTCAGCTTACCGTTGCCTGGAATCAGGACTAGTGGCCGGAAGGAAAAGCAATTCCAGCAGCCCAGCAAAATAGAACAACCAGCTTTTCCCCCTGAAATTCAGAGCCTGAAGCTTGTGTGACAAAAGACAAAAAGAAAATGGTATATAGTATGAGGAAAGTGATCCCAACCTGCAAGACTTTCATGTGGACCATGGTGAAGGCATCTCGGGACCCTCTGCCATTGTGCTGCATCTTCTTCAGATGTTTCCACAGGGAGCTGATTAGCAGGAAGAAAGCCAGCAGGGATACAGTGAAGGGTAGGGACATAAACATACAGTTGGTGAATGAGAAAAACCTGGAAAATTGTGCAAACTTCCTCAAACTAGAACTGTAAGACATGTTGCTTTCATATCCACCAATCCAGATCTCATTAGAAATGTTGATCAGTACAATATTTAAAAACAAAAGAATCAGAGACATCAGAAGAATCACAAAAACCACCTTTTTAACTCTCCACTTTAGGTAAAGAAAAAYAGAATTAGAAAAATTGGCTATCTTCAAAAAATAAGAGATACTGAGGTTTATAGAAAGCCAGAGGTTAAAATGATTAGTCACTGTCCAGGTAATATTAATCATTCTTTTTTTTTAAAGAGAGAGCGAGAAAGAGAGAGAGATTTTTTTAATATTTATTTTTTAGTTTTTGGTGGACACACATTATTTTATTTTTTATGTGGTTCTGAGGATCAAACCCAGTGCCCCGCACATGCCAGGCAAGCACGCTATCGCTTGAGTCACATCCCCAGCCCTATATTAATCATTCTTATCATTTTTGCAGTTATCAATAAACCTGGATAAAATGAAGGAACAACTAAGCTTATGAGTACTGATTAGAGCACACCAATTCTGGAGAGTACCAAAGCAGTGAGGATTTGATCAACTGAAGAGATCTTTCTTCTCTTGACCCAGTCCACGCAGTTCACCAGCACAATGAATCCATTTCCTAAACTCCCAGTTAAAATGATTTTAAACATGCTCTCTATGACATGGTCCATTGTAAGAGGTTGTCTCAAAGTCTAATATCACTGCTGAAGATTTCTTAAGGCACTCATCTAAAATGCTAAGTGTATCTGATTCTTGAATATTCATTCACCTGTTAAAACTCACATATAGAGCATCAAATAAACAAACATCAAAAATTTCTGATGAATGGATTAATAGCTTTTATCATGAAAATATTGCAATTCCCAGACAGCCCAGCTGAACTCATTGAGATACTGTGTACTTCACACACAATAGCCTGTAGTTTTTGTAGTCAATGATGAAGGAAACACTTTGCTCCCATTTTCTAACATGCAAACTGTAATCTTTTATTTGCATTATTTTGATATTTCTTCCTTAATTACATATTTTAGTCTGGCAAAGTGAGTTCTGAGCAAGTAAGATTACAAAAATTCTAATAACATGGCAGGCAATGAATATACGCATAAGTATGTGGAACTTACTAAGCTCTAAGGATTTTAATATTTTTTAAAGTTAGGTATACAAAGAAACCTATGCAGGTGTTTCCCAGAGCTCTTCATACAAAGTGTCATGATTGTCTAACATCCTGAAGCTCATTATTTCTACAATGCTGAGTACTGAGAATAATATTTATCATTTCACTTTTTACCAATGCATTAGTAGCACATACAACACACCCATAAAAATACATTTACTTGAATTCAAATCCCCTTCTCCTCCCATCCCAATAATTGAAGATTTTCAACATTCAATATACATCTGCCTCATACTGAGTACAGTGATAAGTCATTCCTTTAAAAATGCTTCCAGGTTGATATTATACCTTAATAAATATGAATATTCAGTAAACTTTGGGAATATTCTTTTGTGCATGTGAAAAATGGTGGAAATCTCTCTGCGGTTCCCTGAAGTAGTCGCTGCAGCAAAAGAGTTCATCCCCACACCAAAAATCTTCCTCATTCTGTCTGTCCCTTGCCCAGTAGGGACCAGAGACCTTCAGATTTCATCCCTCTCCCTTCATCTCCCAGCAGCATCTGCTCCATGACTCTCACTGCAGGCACCCAGGTAGGTGAAGGATGATACCCTGCCTGGGCAAGGTAGGGAGTAAGTAACCTGGTGACATTGTTTCTCCTCAACAGCTAARAAGTAAGCAGGCGACAGACAAGAGAAATACAGCCACAGCTATCAGAAACAGCAGAAAAAAAAAAAAAAACATGTATCCTAACTTTCAGGCATGGCAGAGAAAGACTTGAGACATTGCATTGTGAACTTCCAACGTAACCCTCCATCCTCTGAAGCAACACTTAGCAGAGGAAATGAATCCAATATATCTTGAAACTTCTCTCAAATGCCCTTTATATAGGAGAGATGTATGTTGAAAGATAAAAATAGGACTGTAGGGATAAAATTTAAGGAAAACTAAGAAGGAGGAAAAAAAATTATACCATCAACGAAGAGGCAGGAAGCTCCGAACAGCTCAGTTCCTTC